GTGTCATGGACTTTTCTGCTAGAGCTGGCTTTGTTCTGTGGTCCTCAGATCTCAGCCACCTGAATAGCTAGGATTAACAGGTATGAGCTACCAACAGACTGTTGATGGCCATAGTGAGTGACCATTCAGAGCTTTCAGCTAGAGGAGTAAGGTAGTTAGTTTTGCCTGTGTGAAGGTTAAACTGTAGAGAATTGGAATAAGGAAATCTGTCAGAGGTTATACTGTTTGAGGCAGAAGTGCTGTTGAAGAAAGTGGTAGAAGCAGCAGATGATATGGGCATTTTAATGAAAATCATATGGAAAAAGAATGTTATTTTAGGTTTTTGTAATGTATATGAATGTATGTGTTTTTATCTTGAAATATAGATTTACAGAAAAGTTAGACATTCAATGAATTCTCATATACCCTTCACCTCAAATTCTTTAACTTTTCCACACTTGCTTTTCATAAACTAATAATTAAATGCTACATCCTGCCTGAACCATTTGAAAGTGATTTATAGATATGGTCTCTCTTTACTCCTAAATACTTCAGTGTACATTATTCCCCATTTCTCCCAAATAAATCTCATGATATAAATAAATACCATGATATTTTATCTTCCTCCCTCCCTCCCTCCCTTTCTCTCTTCTTTCATTCCTTCTTTCTCCTTCCTTCCTCCCTTCCAGCCCTCCTTCCTTCCCTCCCTTCCTCTCTCTCCCTCTGTCTGGATATCTCCCCTTCTTTCTTTGTTTCAGCACTGGGGTTTGAATTTAGGGCCTCATTCTTGTCTCAAGCTTGCTCAGCTTGCTTGGTTGGCCAGTGTTCTACCACTTGAGCCATGCCTCAAGCTCTGCTTTTGGCTGGTTATTTTAGTGATGTAGTCTGGTAGACTTTTCTGCTCAGGCTGACCTCAAGCCTCTGTTCTCTAGATATCCACTGCCTGACTAGCTAGGATTATAAACATGAACCACCAGTGCCTGACTAAGACATTAAAAAAAAATCACAATATTACAAAAATTAGGCAATTACAGATAGAGTACTGTAAAGACTATTCAAATTTTCCTAACTTCCCTATTGTCCTGTGTGTGTGTGTGTGTGTGTGTGTGTGTGTATTTGCGCGTGCGCACATGTGCACACACACTCGTGCGAGTACCCTATTTGTGTGCTGGTCCTGGGGTTTGAACTCAGGGCCTGGGTACTGTTCCTGAGATTTTTTGCTCAAGGCTTGCACTCTACCACTTGAGCCATAGCTCCACTTCCAGGTTTTTGGTGGTTGGTTGGGAAGCCTCATGGACTTTCTAGCCATGGCTGGCTTTGAGTAGCTAGGTTTACAGGCATGAGCCACCAGTACCTGGCCTAAAGTCCTTTCCCTGGTACAGGATGCTATTCAGGGTTACATTACTCTTATTTGTCATGTCTCCCATTCTTTTAAAGCCTAGAACATATTCTTTCCTTTTCTATTATGATAGGACATTTTTGAAAAAATACAGGTCAATTATTATTATTATTTTTTTAGACATTCCACCACTTGGATGTGTATGATGTTTCCTCATGATTAGAATTAGGCTGTGCCTTTTTGGCTGTGATTCTGCAGAAGTAGTGTTTTGGGTGTCCTATCAGGAGGCCATGCTGCTGTTTTGTTCCATTCCTGGCAATGTACACTCTTATCACTTTAGTACAGTGATAACTCTCAGGATTATCCACTGTAGAATTACTGTTTTTCCACTTCATAATTAATACATATGTAGGGTGTACCTTTTTTTAAAAATTTAATTTTATTGTAAAGATGCTGTACCGGGAGATTACAGTTACGGAATAAAGTAATGAGTACATTTCTTGTCGAATATTGTTACCCCCTCCTTATACCTTTGAAGCTATGTAAAAACTTATTTAAAAATTTTTTAAGTTATCTTTAAGTAGTTATACAAATGGATGCCATTTAACAAAGCAGTTTATGAATATAGTATATCTTGATCAATATCACCTCTTTCAACATTCTCACTCTTCCCTCTATGACCCACACTTTCCCTCATTCTTATGAATTTCATAGGATATATATTTGATTCTTGTTTTTATTTCCCTCCCTCTTCTCCTCTTCATTAGTCTAGCCCTTTCCCTTTGATCCCACCCCATCTCTTTCGAGTAGCTGCTTCCTAATGTTTTATTTTGCTGAATTTGATTTTGGCTTTCTAAGAAATTGCAGTATTTGAGATCTCCCTTGAATCTACCATATTTCAGTAAAAGCATTTGGATACACTTGCATACTATCCAGCATATTTACATAAGAGTTTGTGAGCTAAATCTAACATCCACATATAAAGGAAAATGTGGATCCTTTATTTCTCTGGGCCTCACTTACTTCACTTAATAGATAAATTAGACTGCATTAAACTCAAAAGTTTCTGTACCGCAAAGGACATAACCAGCAACCTAAAAAGACAGCCTACAGCGTGGGAGAAGATTTTTGCCAGCTACACTTCACACAATGGCCTAATATCCAGAATATACAGAGACTGTAAACACATTAAATGCCCAAAAAACAACCCAATTAAATAAATGAGCTAATGAACTAAAGAAAATCTTCTCAGATGAAGTAAAAATGGCCAATAGACACATGAAGAAATGCTCTTCATCTGTAGCCATAAAGGAAATGCAAATCAAGACAACATTGAGATTCTACTGCACCTAAGTTAGAATGGGCCATTATTAAAACAAACAATAGCAGTTACTAGTGAGGATGCAGCCATAGGGAATCCTAATACACTGTTGGTTGGAATGTAAACTTGTTCAACCACTTTCAAAAGTAGTGTGGAAGCCCCTCAAAAAAACATAGAACAGCTCTATGATCCAGCAATTCTGACTCCTGGGCATTTACCCAAAAGATTACAAACCAGGATACAGTAAAGCTACCATCACAACCATGTTTATTTCAGCACTATACACCATACAGAATCAGCCTAGATACCCCTCCTTGAATGAATGTATCCAGAAAATGTGATATATATTTATATATATATACACACACACAATATAATTGTTATCATTCATTAGAAAGAATGATAGTGCACCATTGGAAAGGAAATGAAAGTTTTGAAAAAAACCTGTTTAATGTAACTTCTGCTCATTATTTTTAACATTTAGTCATGGTTCTTTCATGAATCATCTATGTCCTTTTGATATGTGCCTATAAACCCCTAGGCAACAATATCCTCGAGTCATCAGCATTTTATCCAACTTATTTACACTTACCTGCCTTATCCAGTCTTGCAATCTGCCATAGGTTAACAGATACATAAATTGAGATTGATCTATCTTTGTAACTGTGAATGTATCTGTCGTTGTCATCATCATCATCATCATCATTAGGTAATCTGTCTGTTTATATCTTTATAGAGGCTAACAGATCCCATCTGCAGTCAATAGGCCGGAGGTCTAGGATGCTGATGGCTTACTTAATTAAGGTTGTCAGGTAGGAAGAACTGATAGTGTAGATGGATTCTGAAGGACAAACTCTTTACTGGAGTTAATCTTATTATTGTGTCAGAATTTCAGCTGCTTGAATGAAACCCACTGATATGGATGGTAATTTGCTTTACTCTACAAATTAAATTGTTAATACCCCATAATATTATCACAGAAACCCAGATTAATGTTCAGTCAATTATCTGGGCAACCTGTGGTCCAGTTGAATTGGTGCATAAAATTAACCATCAGAGCCCTTTCAGTGCACATCACTAGGGCACCTCCCACCCCCATTTTTAAATCAATATTAAAACGATGAGTGTGTTTTTGTTTTTTTCTGTTCCATACTTTACTACTGGGGCTCTTTTGGCCTCTTTCACTTTCCATGTTTTAGCTGTCTTCTACAGGGAGACACCTGGGTTCTGTTAGTCATGGTCTGCCTATTTATTTGCTCAATCTTAGAATATACAGGAGGTAATTCAGAACTGCTTAACACCATAAGACACCCATTTATTGGAATTTAGTGTTTATTTCAGTTCTTTTGTTTACAACTTGTGAGTTAGTAGTAAAAATATTGGGCTTAAAGGTTTCTTTCCTCTTTTCTCCCTCTGTTAGTGTTGTTATGATAGTCATGTGAAATACCATTAGAGGCATTTGTTTCTGTTTAATTTCCATTTGAGAAATTTTTCCTCTCTTCTTCTTCTTATTTTTCTTTGAGAATATGAGAAATTATACAGTTCCCAAAGTCAGAACTGTACAGGAAGATATACAAAGAGAAGTGTTAGTCATTTCCCATTTCTTCCACTGCTTCTCCAACCTGTCATTTCTTTTCTCCAACCTATTATTTCTAGTCCTCTCTCTCTTCCTGCTCTAGGAAGTTTTTCTTGTGAGTTTCTTATTTATCTAATTCGTTTGTTTACTTTGCACAGATAAATGTGTATCATCTTTCCTCCTCTTTACAATTCAAAAAAGCACATGCCATGTACCTGGGGCTTGAACTCAAGGCTTGGGCACTGTCCCTGAGCTGACACTTTACCACTTGAGCCACAGCACTACTCCTGGCTTTTTCTGTTTATCTGGTACTGAGAAGTCGAACCCAGGGCTTCATGTATGCTTTGCATGCAATTCTACCACTAAGCCACATTCCATATTCCTGTATTCCGCATACTCTTGTACTTGCCACATTCCCAGTCCATATGCCATATACTCTCATACTTGCTGTCTGCAAGCTGGAACCTGTTCTTTAAGTTCCAGTGCAAGTTTTTCCATTGCAATGGTGGGAGAAGACTAGGATTTTAGTTCAAGTTATCAGGTAGGGATTTTAATCTTCCTATTCTTTGTGGTTCTCTTTGGGCCCTCAACACATTGGATAACTTTTACCGACTATGGGAAAGGCTGTCTGCTTGAGCTGTTCTTCAATCCAGATGCTAATCTCTTCCAGAACCACTCTTAAACGTATTAAAAATAACATTTAACCAGATAGCTGGCTAAATGTTAGACAGTAAGGTTGATAGATAAAATTTGCTGGCATACCTTTGGAACATTGCCTGTCAAGACTGCCTCCTTGAGTTGTTTGTGCCCTTAAATTCCTTCTTTGCAGTATTTTCTCATCTATCAACACTTCAGAAGTTTTTCACTTGCGGTGAGTTTATATGTGATTTTTGTTGTTGTTGTTGTTGTTGCTGTTGTTGTTATTGGTCATGGAGCTTCAACACTGGGCCTGGGCACTATCCCTTAGCTCTTCAACTCAAGGCTAGTGCCCTACACTTGAGTCACAGCTCCAGTTTTCTGGTGGTTAATTGGAGATAAGAGTCTCACGGATTTTCCTTGCTGAGGCTGACTTTGAACCATGATCCTCAAATCTCAGCCTCCTGAGTAACTAGGAGCCACCAGTGCCCAGCTTATATATGAATTTTAAGACAATTTCAGGTCTTCTGTTACTATCATCTTCCTTCTGTGTAACTTTTCTCTTAGACCCATTTGTATTCTCTGTGATAGTTTAATGGAAGAGCTGGGGAAATGTTTGCACCAAGATGTGGTTTGTATTTTCTACTTTAATCGGTTTAAAGTTGGTAGTTTGTTTTATAATGTTGAAGGTATGGGACTTTTGTGATTTTATTTGTTCTTTGAAAAACATGTTTGAGGATTTGGATTTACATGATCACCAATAGTTCACTTAATTTTTAAGTTATGAAACTATTTGTTACTTTTTCATGGCTGTAACAGAATGCCTGACTTAAGTAACTTAAGGAAGGAAAGGTTTATTTGTCTCATGGTTTCAAAAGATAAAGCCATGCTCAGTTGGACCAGAACTTCATAACAGTGGGAATCTAAGGCAGAGGAAAGCTGTTCACTTTCTGTGGACAGAAAGCAGAGATAAAACAGGGAGGGGCTAGTAACAAAATACCCACGAGGACCTGCCCTCTTGACCTATTTTCTACAGCTAAGTTCTACCGCTTCAAGTTTCCAGAACCTCTCAAAATACTGTCCAGCCAAGACAAAGTAGTCAAAACATAAGCATGTGAGGAACATTTCATATTAAAACCATAACCAATATTTTTAAATGGCATTTTCCCCTTACTGAAACAGAGTAGGCATCTTAGTCCAGAATACTTTCTGTGCATTCTGCCAGTCAGATGAGTTAGCATTATAGATGAAGGCTGTGTACTTTTCTATTGTAGACAAAGCCCTCCCACACTACAGTCTTCTTCAGTAAGGATCACCCTATTTCTACTGTATGCCCTATAGCTTAACACAGAATCATTGCAATATCCATTTTCCCCTCTATCTTCACATATTCTAAAATAGAAGAATTTCTCCTTGCTTCTAGTATGATCAGAAATATCTTTGTTAAAAAGATGATACAATTCCTTGGCATGTAAAATCTGTAATTGAATTAAGAAGTATATTTGGGCCAGGAATAGTTTTGAGGCATATCTAGTATACACTGAGGCTCCTTGACAACACGGGGTTGATATTTGCTTTACACTGTGAGTATCTGGACGTCATGAATAGATTGTTGAGTCAGTGGTAGACAAATACCAAGACAGATTGCTAGCAGGGAAGACATAAGGAAAAGGTATTTAGGAAGCTATTTGTCTTAGTTTTGGTCTCTTTATTTTTTTAAATCATTAAAGTCAGCGTAAGTGAGTTTAAGCTACAAGTGGTGTAGGGGAATTCTGGCTTATCACTTTACTCTGAATGGCAGCCATGTCCAATTAAGGAACTAAAGCCACAGTGAGACTCAGTAAAGCAACTTGTTTTAGGTCATAAAACTAATAAGGGGCAGAGTTACTATTTGACGCAGATCTATTTGCTCTTGTTGTAATAATAATACACTTCTTAGAGCCTGTTTTCACAGAAACAGAACGTAATAGTAAGGGTACCACAGGCAGAGCCAAAGTCCCTGGAAATGGGAAATGGTCTTTGGTGCATCACTCCAGCTGGGATATTTTGTATTAGAAGTAGTAATGCCTTTCAGAAAGCTCTTTAACGTTTTGGAAATTAAACATTTGGTATGGCTTTTTATATTTATGCAGTGGAATTTGTGATGTGTGGCCCTACAAAAACGTATCTTCCACTGCAGATGTCACAGTCTCACTTCTAGAGTTAAGATGGGAAAAAATTATGCATTATTGCTTCAGTTTTTTGGAGATCCTTTTGGTAGCAAAAACTTTTGTCTGTGATTGTTCAAAGGGATCCAGAGTTCTCTTTATTGCTCTTTTCTGGATAATAGATCAGATGATATATCTCTCAAGTAGAGTCAGAAGCCCCATTTAAGCATTACAGGAAAAAAAGTATTTATAGATCTGGAAGGAAAAAAAATGAGTTGAAGATGGGTGATAGCGATTATTACAGTGAAAGTTAAGATACATTTTCAGGCAATGGAAAAATGTGCATGTAAATAGTGACTTTTCCCCAAAGGTTGAAATACAGATAATGAAAACTCACTTAGAGTATAAAGGTAGTGTGGTCAAATGAACCATTTCTAAAAACCCACATTTTGGAATGCCTCAACATAAAGAAAGCTTTATAAAAATCTTCTCTTCATTATTCCAATGGCTCAAGATACTTCAAGAATTTAGTACTTTGTCCAAAGAAAGTACATGCTCTATCTGTAGTGTTACAAGTTCATAATTATCTAAGCTATTTTTTCCATCGTTTGATAATTATTCTGTTAAAAGACACCTAAATGAAAAAGCTAGCAGATCATAAGGAAAGATAACACATATTCATTGTGCATTGGCCAACTGCCAGGAGTTTACTGAGACAAACAAACAGACAAATTCAAATGAGCCAGGCTGTACCTTCTTAGAATTTCAGATTTTTTTTTTATTTTATTGACTAAATATTAGTTGTTAAATTTAGAACATACTCTCAAATGTTAATACTTATAATGATCATAATTTTGGGTTCTATTTTCTAAAATAATCTCAAATTTATGACATATTCCTCACCAAACAGATCTGTCTGCTCTTCTGACCAACCTATTGATTATAGTGGGTGACTATTTTAGATTAAATTTTTTTCCCTTCTTAATGTCAATCATTTAAAAAATATATGTATATATTATATTTTATGAGAGAGAGAAAGCCGAGAAAATGTTTACAGTCACAGAGAAAGGCTTTAAAAGATAGGACCAGGGCTGGGAAGGTGGCTCAATGGTAGAGTCCTTGCCTGGCATGCATGAGGCTCTGGGTTTGATTCCTCAGCACACATAAGCAGAAAAAAGCCAGAAGTGGTGCTGTGGCACAAGTGGTAGAGCACTAGCCTTGAGCTGAAGAGCTCATGAACAGTGCTCAGAGTTTAGGCCTCACGACCGACACACACACACAAAAAAGACAGGACCAGAAGTCTCCAATGCCAATGACATGGCAGGAGCTGGAATTTAGTTGACTCTCCTATCTACCAGCACACCTGCTTCTTTTTAATATTGTGTTAGCTATGGTCTCCTGCCTAGGCAATTTTAAATGGGGTACAAATACTCAAATTCTCTTTCACAAAGAACCTTAGATTGTGGTGGTGAGTATGGGTATGTGCGGTCCATTTCTTGTCTTTATTTTAAAATAAAAAAAAAGTGCTAACCCCAAAAATACATTTTAAGGGATTACAGTTTCCTTTTTACACTATTGGTATGCTTAAAGATTTAATCATTTTTAATTGCATCATGGACACTTTCAAACAATCAGAAACACAGGAAATATAAAAGGAAGCCCTGTCCACCTATCACCTACTTCAGTTATTTCAAATGGCCAGGCTTATTGCAGGAATATCATCCTTTCCCAAATCCCAGTACTGATCTACTTGTTCATGAAAATTCATGTGTGGAGACTTAATCCCATGGTACCAGTATTTGGAGGCATGGCTTTGGGGGTGATTGAGACATGAAGGAATGGGGATTGTCACTCTTACAGAAAGACTGCAATTAAGAGAAGTATTCTTTCTTGCTGTTGTAATCTGCCATGTGAAGCTATGAAGACAATGGCACATAGGAGTGCCTTCACCAGATAGTGAATTGGCTGGTGCCTTGATCTTAATTAAGACTTTCCTCCAGCTTCCAGAACTATGAGAAATAAATCTACTTTTTATAAGCTACCCATTCTTAGATATTGTATTGTAGCACCTTGAGCAAACTAGGACATCCAGATGTATTTCATTGAAGTCTATATGTCACTAAAAGATAAGGGATTCTTTAAAAACATAACCTTAACATTTTCCAGAGTGTACAGTGTTTAAAGAGATTTGTCTTTGCAGCTGCAGTATGTTCTAATTATAGTGGAAGTCATCGAGATAAATTGCTAAGCATATGCAGTTCAGTTTATAGACTTTCTGGAGCATATTGCTTACAGATTTTTAGGTTTTTAAAATTCTTAAAATGTACACCATTTTCATCCAGATTTTCCTGATTTTAAAATGTACAATTCTGTTGCTTATTTAAAAATGTTGCAGCTCTATTAAGGTAAAATTTATGTATTATGAAATTCACTTATTTTTATTATCTTTAAGTACTTGTACAAAGGATTATAATTCAACATGTCAATTTATGAGTACAATACCTCTTGATCAATATCACCTATTTCAATTATACTATCCAGTGAAATGATGAAAAAGTTGTAGTAGATGATCTATGGTTCCAACTCTGTGATTTATAAATTTGTTTATTTCTATATGACTTTGGGCATATTGATTTTCTTTGGCTTGATTTTCTCAACAGATAAAATGTGACATTAATAGAATTGTATGGAGATATTGATAGAATCATATATAAGTATGAAATTATATTCTTGGAGCAGAAAAAAGTATCTGTACATGGTACTTGTAATAAGGTTGGGACTGTTTTAGTCTGTTGGACCAAGAATGTATTAAGAATTTCTTGAGTGTGGTCTAGTTGGAGTCAATGGTATTAAACTACTAATTAGTAAACCAGTAATTATGGAAGAAGGAAAGTTTAACTATTAATAGTAGATGCCATCTATTGAATGTTTACTGTTTTAGAGTATAGTAGACATTGTTTATACAAGTTAACACACATAGTTGTCAATCTATGGGCTGATGATGATTCCTTAAAAGAAAGTAAAGAAATTGCCCCAAACCACCTAGCAAGTCAGTGACTGGTGGAGAGTTGTATTGTGGTTCTAAAACCATGATTATTACTACTAAATTGTCTTTCAGAGCAAACAGCTCTTGGGAATAGAGAATCTTATGGCTGTTCCTTGGGAAAAATAGCTAATATTGCCAACAATCCTTATGAGGAGTGAAAGGAGTGATTATGCTATATTTGATTTCCCCTATGTGTCCTTTGTTACTTTAATCTGATAGTGAAGTGGCATTTCAGTTATTGGACAAAATAAGTATCTGTAATATGCTTAGTATTCTTTGGTAGTTTTACCACAAACAACAACATATACCTGTTTTGTTTTTTTGTGCCAGTCCAAGCAAGGGGCTTGTGCTCAGGGCCTAGGTACTGTCTCTGAGCTTTTGTACTCCAGTCTAATGCTCTAACACTTGAGCCAAAGCTCCACTTTAGGCTGTGTATAATAAGGGAGTCCAGAAGAAGCTTTTTTCTCCTAGAATTCCATCAGTATGATTTGCTTTTCTGAAAGAAAATGTTCATTATCCCTTTTTGTTTTGTTAAATGAGTGACAACACTCTTAAGGATTTATTAATAAATTACCATTGATAACAAAAGTCCAAGATTTGGGCTGGGAAGGTAGCTCAGTGGTAGAGTGCTTGCCTTGCATGCATGAGGCCCTGGGTTCGATTCCTTAGCACCACCTAAGTAGAAAAAGCCAGAAGTGGCTCTGTGGCTCAAGTGATAGAGCACTAGCCTTGAGCTGAAGAACTGAAGGGACAGTGCCTAGGCCCAGAGTTCAAGCCCCATAACTGACAAAAAAAAATGCAAGATTTAAAAAATTTCGTGCAGTTAAGGAATTTTTGAATCTACACTTAAAAAAATGGAGGTTTCCAGCTGGCAAGTGTTAGTAGAATTGCTAGACTTCCTTCCTCTTCTGCCTTTGTAGATAATAGTAGCTGTGGCTCTGTGGAAAAGGAACAGAGAAGAGGCCATGGGAAGGTAGTTGGATTATTGGTAGTTTTGGGAAAGGTTTCCAAGTGGTAGGCTATTATTACTATTAGCAGCAGATTTTATTTTTTGATGTTGTACAGTGTAAAATGTTTAATGTCTTACTATATTCATTAATGTAAAATTATATTTCAGGATAAATTGAAGGCATTTTCATAGAAAACTTAAGATTCAAAGTTGCTTTCTCTTTTTCTTCTTCCTGTTTTCTTCATTTCTACTCCATCATGGAATATGCTGGGTCTGATTGGTAAAATTGGTATTGTGTGATGATACTTGAACTTTGAAATTTATTAGAGGAGTAGTTACAATTTTGGCCGGTTCTGTATTTTACAGAAAGTTAGCCATTGATTTACCATTTTAATTTTTATTTAATTAGTTACATTTTACTTTTTATTGCTATTATAAAGGTGATATACAAAGGGGTTACAGTTACATAAGTCATATAATGAATATATTTCTTTTGGACAATTCTCTCTCCCAATTTTTCCCTCCCATTCCCACCCACAAGTTGTATCATTAATTTTCAACATAGTGTCAGTGAGTAACATGACACAGTTTACCATTTTTATTTTAATCTTTTAAGTACATTGTTCTTTCATTTAAAATGCAGATTAATCATCATACACAAAAATTACATGGATTTTATACTGTTGTTCTACTTTATTGATGGAGTATCCTGAAGTTGAGTAATAATTGCTTCTATAGAACTTTATATATTGATATGTAGAGTGGTGATGAATGCTGTATGTGTGCTTGTGTTTGTTTTAACCTCCAAGATTGCTCCTGTTCTCTGAAAGTATTTCTAATAGGAATTTAAGTATAGCTATACTTCGGTATTTATCTGGACATGCAAGGCAAGGAAGCCTGTGTTCTGATTTTGTTCTTTACCATTGTGTGTCTACATGGTGTAGATTTATTAGAGATGATGTAGTTAGCTGTAGGCAATCCTAATGGGTTTTCACTGATTGTTAAAAAATGCTCTTCGAAGAATATAACTGAATTTTCCAAGTAAACCGGTTGATTTATACTTATTGAGAGAGGACTTCCAGTGCACCACTAGTAGCATCAATTATAATCTCTTTTGAAGTGTAATTTGCTCAGCCTTGATTAAAAGGCCTGTAATAGTCTTTTCTGACTCAGCACATCCTCTGCTGCCCTCTAATGGTTGCCCATCCACAGCACCCATTACTACCCGTGTATCCTAAGTGGACTGGGCCTCTCTCCAGCCTGCAAGCAGCTGTGTGTTGGAGCATTGAGAGGAGCTGCTTTGAGCAAAACCATGTGTATGGTTCCTCCAAATGTTGGCATTTGGGTAGTTAGAGTAAGGTTAGGATTTCAAGATTAAGTGTTTTTGCCCTACTATTGGTTCATATGCTTGTTCACAATACACACACACACATAGGCTCACATATGTAGGTTTAACAAGCCTTTTCTTGTGAAAAGTGGTGATCTATCCCAGTGGAATGGCTATGAACTGGTATCTATGTGTTAACATTGTGTCATGGATATAGTGGGTAGATGGTTGTGTTTTTCAAGATTTTCCTTTATTTCATGTATTTTGTATTATCAATTTTAATTTGACATAGTATTTAAATAACTAGATAAATATTTTTTCTTATGGTAGCTATGCTTAACACTTGAAATCCAAAAAAGAATATTTTTTGAAAAACTATATTTAAGCTAGTAATATAGTACTCATTTTTATTACCCATCTCCAGTGGAACAATGAAAGAAACTGAAAGGAAGAAGTGTGTAGATGTTCTCATCTGCTGCTTAATGGGATTATGTGTGACTAGAGTTAATTTTTAAGTGTGACTAGGGTTTTATTTTATTTTATGGTAACATACTTAAAAAAAAACATGAAATGATCAGGCACAGTCCACTAAGCTCTTGGTTTTGCTTTCACTTCCTATTTCAATCAAATTTCTTTGTTGACTAAAATAGTATCTTTCTCTAGTTAACTTAGCAGTAGAGGGATTTATTAGCAGGGTCTTGTATAATTTACCAAATGAGAACTATGGAAGTATAGGCTCAAAAAATAGGAACAAAAAGCAGCTCAGAATATGTGTGCATAATCAGATAGGAAAAATCTAGGTAATAAGTCAGTGACTAAGTGACTTCCATATGTGTTTTATTCCTTTAAGTTTGAAATTCAGATCAGCTGTTTTTAGTCTAGTTTTTAGAGTCAAGGGATCAAAAATAATTTTATAAAAAATCATAGGTATTATTTACCATCTGTGATGGTATTTCCATTGATGATGTAAAGATATTGGTGGAATGCTAGTGCCTTAACATGAACCAAAACAGGATATAATTTTATCTGTATATAAACATGATTGTTTTGAACTGAGATACTTCTTACTGTACTTGTGTGTGGGTTTGCTTCATACTGTCCAATTTTGCAGCTTGTCAGACACCTATGGAATGTCTTTCAATTCAAATCACTTTAACTCAATTCACTTCACTTCAGTCTAATTCAGTCTAATTTAGTTCAGTTTGGTTCTGGCACTAAGTACCAGAGCTGATGCTTATACTAAAGGGATCTTTCTTACACAACTGACCCCACTTTGGGTGTCAGTAGTATGTGTTGAGCCCCAAAGTCAATTCATTTCTGTCAAAATTGGCCACAAATTGGGGTTCTCAAGACTGATACCTTCCTTGGGGTTGATAATTCATTAGATAAGAATGATATGTAGAGCAAGGTATTGAGGGGAATCATGGAGCCTACAGCACCCTCTAAATGTGCCACCTTTCTAGGACCTTCATGCATTTGCTGCTTGAAAGACCTCAAGTTGTATTATGTAGGCATGATGGTTAAATCACTGGCCACAGGTGATTGACTCAGTCTCCAGCCCCTCTCACCTCCTCAGAATTTGGGAGAGTAGAGCTGAAAATTCTAAGCTTCTAACCGAAGTTTGTTGTTCTTATAACATACTTCATCTTGGGCTTGTCTGGATATTCCCCGAAAAGTCACTTTATCAGCCCAGGTTCTAATAGGAAAAAGTTCGTAGGAATAATAAAGTATATTTCCATCAGTAGATTCCTAGAAGTTTGTGTTGTCTCAGATCTCAGTCTCCTGCATAGCTAGAATTACAGGTGTGAACTGAGAAGGCTGAGGTATAAATATCACTGTTTGAAGCCAGCTTGAGCAGGAAAGTTCATGAGAAGTAGAGCTGTGGCTCAAATGATAAACCACTAGCCTACAGCAAAAAAGCTCAGGGACAGTGCCTAGGCCCTGAGTTCAAGTGCCAGCATCAGCGCGTGCGCGTGCACACACACACATCCCTTTTTAGTTTAGAGCTCTATATTTAAATAGCTTGCTATCATCAGATATTTTCAGAGCTGTTTTATTGGTAAGCTGATAGTGTGATGTGAAATTGCCTTTATGGAACAACATTGCCTGTTTGTGAAGCTTTTTTCTCACCTAATAAGCTCTATGATTTTTGAGACAATGTTTTACTTCTCTGATTCTTCTGTTAAATAGAAGTAATAGTTGTATTTACCTCAGAAACACTGGGAAGACTTAAGTATGTTAACCCAAAAATATCATTTATGATAGGGAATGTTTCTGGTAAGCACTTGATAAATGCTAATTATCATAACCATTATTTTTAACATTTCCTATCATCATTTTCCAACTTTAAATCAGATTTCCTATAAACTGGCCAAAGGAGAATGGAACCAAGACAGGAATCCAAGCTTTCTGGGTTCTTGCTTGTTGGATAGCTCATAGAGTCAAAATATTGATGTGGAGAACTGGCACACCAGTTTTAGATAAAAGATATAAAATCAGAAGCATTCCTCTTGTATTCCTAGTACCATTTAGCTAGTCTGATTTACAACAAAAATGAATGAACAATATTCAAACAAATACTTAAGAAATTAAACTTGAAGAAAAAAGTTTGTTTCATACACAGGTGCAAACAGTGATTATTTTAATTGGACACCCAAAGCTGTAAAATAACATACAGTCAGTTTAAAAATTATCTAAGATTTCTGTTTTCAAGACAACATTTTTTTGCAAGGCAGGGCTGTGACTTGGGTGCTTAACTCCAGCTGATAACACAATGCTTGAAATGGGATGGGTCCATAACAGGTGTTTGCTGAATAAGTCATATAAAGAGTCATAACTTCCACTCCACTTGGAAATTGTTTCCAGAGAGCATACATTGACTAGTACACTCTAAAGAACTGTCCTATGTCATGGTAGTGTGATATGCTTTAGAGGAAGGGATAAAATGTAATAGAGCATAATCTCAAACATGAAGCTAAGTGTAAGAGGATAATATAATTGAGCTTTTGATTAGCTTATTTTGTTTTAAAGGTCCTGCTGCCCTCAGAACCTGATTTAGTAATATATAGGGATGGCCCAGGCTTTACATATCTACCATGCTGGAGCCTCTGTTTAAGGGAAACTGCCTTGCCTTTTGAACTTGCTACATATGTATGTACTTTTTGTGTTTATCTATATACCCTGGCTCTGAACAGTGGACCATGGAAAGCAAAACCAAGAATAATCCCTTCTGGCATGGAACAAAAAGATGAATTGAACCAATGAGATATTTTCCCCTGGAGAATTAAAAATTGTAGAATATGAGATATGGAGGTAGCTAAGAGTGGGAACAAAATGGAAACAGTATAATAGGAAGTACCTTAAAATAACACAAAGGTCAAATGTGTTATTATGTGGTATGGGGAGCAAAAATATGAGAATTCAAAACATGCTTGCAATAGCAGAACAGAAGGAATCAAGTATTTGGGATGAAGCTATGTAATTAGAAAGCAATGGGATATTAATAGACTCAGTAGACTTTTCCACAAGTAATACATTGAGGCACTGCTGTGTACCAGACAGTATTGTTGCCCACAAGTATTACTCTGAGAAATAATTAAGCCAGTGATTCTTAACCAGCTGTGATTTTTGCCTACTAGATATCATCTGGTGTTGTCTGGAACCACTTTGGCTGTCAGGACTGATCAAAGGAGAGGCAAGGGAGGTTCCACAGAGAGCTCCCTTATGACCCAGCAATCCCATTTTTGAGCATTTACCCAAACAATCACAAATAAGGCTATACTAAAGCTACCAGCACAACTATATTCATCACAGCATTATTTACCATAGCTAAGATATGGAACCAACCCAGATGCCTGCTCTTCAGTAGATGAATGGATCAAGAAAATGTGACACGCGCGCGAGCACACACACACACACACACACACACACTCACTCACTCACTGGAATTCTATTCCTCTAATGATATTTAATAGGTGGAGACTAGGGTTCCTGCTAACTGATTCACAATGTACAAGGCAAGTTCCTACAAAAATCATTTATCTGGCTCAAAATACCAGTAGTTCTCAAATTGAAAAACCCTGGGACAAACCATCATGAAAACACTTTTTCAGACAATAATTGTTATCTTGTAGTTGACATTTACCTTTCTGTGTTTTCAGAAGTAAAGAAGTGAAGTGAAATGGAGGCCTCAGTAATATTGCCCATATTGAAGAAAAAACTAGCCTTCCTTTCAGGTATGTTTCTGAAATGCAAACTGTTTGATATGTTTAGGATATAAACTTATTTAAACTCTGATAAATTTGACAGACATGCATTATTTTTTCCTGTGATGTTTTTTCAAAGGCATTTCCTTTAATAGAGTGGGATAACAGTGAGCTATTATTTCTGGTTCTGCCTGACCATTTAAATTCTATCCTGTAATTTGATTAAAATGACCTCTACAAGGTAGATGTTATATTTCTCTCATCTTAAGTAGAAGGTAATAATTAATAATTGACTAGCAGGCATCTAAGTAATTGTTGTTTGAATCAGTAATTAGTCATAATTAGCCCCTGACTTCCATGTTCTTAGGAGAAAGCCTAAGTACACAGGAGGATTGTGAAGTATCAGTTATTCTTCACTGTTGGAAGTTGGTTGCATGTATCTGACCTTATTTTTACTTCTTAACATCAAGTATGTATTAGCTTAGGCACGGAGAAGCTGTGAGACATTCTACTGGTTTAATGCAGTGGTATGGGACACTGGAGTAGCAAATTTCATGAAATTCAGGATGAAATTGAGTAAATCTATACATCATAATTGACATTATGGCCCTGCCAACTTAGGGTTGTTTGGATTTTATTACCTTTTCCTTTGTAATTCTGTTTAGGTCTCTTTGTTATAATTGTTTGATAATACTATTGTCTTGATAATACTATTTTTTTCTCCTCAAAATATTATATTATAAACTGACATTGTTGCTTCATGTACAAAAAAATAAGAAATTGAATTGCCTTAGTATTATTATGTATTTTATTTGAATTTTCTTTACCTTTCTCCTTACAGATTGGCATTTATATTTTCTATTCTTTTTTCATTTTATTTATTTTTTATATATGTTTTCTGTTGTAAAAATACTGTACAGAGGGGTTACAGTTACGTAAGGTAATGAGTACATTTCCTATCCAGCATTGTTACCTCCTCCTTTGTTTTTTCCCTACCATCCTTCCCACCCTACCTCCCCAACTCCTCCTTCCCCCGCCCCAGAAGTTGTAAAGTTCATTTTCAACATAGTGTCTTGTACATCTCACTGTTACAATGGGTCAAGCTGTATCCTTATTTCAGCATTTTGTTATTTCCCTTCCCTTCCCCAAATTATAAAAAGGTATATAAGATGCAGGGCACCTACACCAAATACAGTGAAAGCAGGGGTTATACCAGGGGGAAAAAACATAACAAAGCAACACAAAAATCACATGGTATATTGTAAGTACGTTAGAAACAATAGCAAGAAAAAAACCCACTTGTGTCCCTATCTTAGGGTTCATTTTGTTTAACATTATCTTATCTGGTCATATGTAAATAGCTTTTGACCTTTTCTGCCTTTCACAGATATATACTAGTTATTGCAAATAAGGGAAACCATGGGACCTATATTTCTTTGGGTGTGGCTTACTTCACTTAATATAATTTTTTCCAAGTCTTTCCATTTCCTGACAAATGGGGCGATGCCACTCTTTCTGATGGGGGCATAGAATTCCATTATATATAAAAATATATATATAAAAATGGAATTTACATATATATATCACATTTTCTTGATCCATTCATCTACTGAGAAGCATCTGGGTTGGCTCCATATCTTAGCTATGGTAAATAATGTTGCAATAAACATAGTTGTACTGGTAGCTTTAATATGGCCTTGTTTGTGATCATGTGGGTAAATGCCCAAAAGTGGGATTGCTGGGTCATAGGTGTAGTCTTTTGAGGAACCTCCATACTGCCTTCCAGAGTGGTTAAACAAGTTTACACTCCCGCCAACAGTGCCAATGTAGCCTTCTGTCCACATCCCCTCCAGCATCTGTTGTTATTAGCGTTCTTGATTATAGCCATTGTAATTGGGGTGAGGTGGAATCTCAATGTTGTTTTGATTTGCATTTCTTTTATGGCTAGAGAAGTTGAGCATTTCTTCATGTGTCTATTGGCCATTCTTATTTACTCTTCAGAGAAGTTTCTCTTTAAGTCTTTAGCCCACTTATTTATTGGGCAGTTGTTTCTTTGAGGATTTGTTGTTTGGGGATTTAGTTTTTTGAGTTCTAAGTATATTTTGGATATGAAACCCTTGTCCATTGTATGGCTAGTGAAGATCTTCTCCCAATCCATAGGCTTTCTATTGATCTTGCTAGCTATGTCCTTTGTCATACCGAAACTCTGAAATTTCATGCAATCCCATTTGTCTAACCTTTCTTTGATTTATTGTGTTTCTTGGTCTTTATTAAGAAAATTTCAGCCCATGCCAAGGAGCCCTAGAGTTTCTTCTATTTTATTTTCTATTCTTTCTGAAATGAATACTCTTATAAACACTCATATTTGTAGCCTATTTTATACAAGTTCATCAATATAAATTCTTGTCAATGGAAGTAAAATTGTGCATATAAATTTGTATTTGGGCTTGTCAGAATGCCCTTCTAGGAAGATGGTTTTAATTTGTCTTCTTTAGCAGAATATCAAAATGACTATTTATTTTTAATCATGATGACATTGTTCTCTTTTTATCAGTAACATTCTTGAATCCCCTGATACTTGTCCTTGTGCAACATCAATCACTGTAACTTATCTTGAAAGACTTTTTCCCCTTGGCTTCTAGCTCTCTTTTGCTTTTACACTGATGGTATTATAGTGATGATTTTTATCCCTTAGTGAAAGCTGAGGATGTAGAGTTTAAAGTAGTTGTAAGTGTTAAACTTGTTCTTTCAAAAAAGCTTTCCAGTGGATCATAGTACAACCGTTTAGGTGAGAACTTGCTTGTATAGTTGGATAAAGCTCAGCAGTTTTGAAGAGCAAATGAAAGTTCTCTTATTTTACCTCTTGTGGCTTTCTTTCTTGATATTTGATAATTACAGATATAATCCCTTAACTTTTTGGTAATGGAGAAAAGTTTTAAACAAACATTACTCAGTGACTGTAGTTTGAAAAGCACTTGTGTAAACCAATTTTTTTAAATTTTAAAGTAGAGTCTTGCCAAGTGCCTGCAGCTCATGCCTATAATCTATAGCTACTTAGGAGGATGAGAATGGAGGATCACATTTCAAGGCAAGCCTGGACAGAAAAGTTTTCAAGACCCCTTCTTAACCTATAGTATAGGTTAAGTGTATAGTACAGTGTTATATGTCTGTCATCCCTAGCTATATGGGAGGATGAAAATGGGAAGGGGTGTAGTTGTAGGCTAACCTGGGCAGAAAAAAATTCTAGAGACTTTCTCTCCCTGGAGGGAAACTGGACATGGTGGTGTGTACCTGTGATTCCATCATTTTTTCATTTTCTGTATATTCCAAATAAATGTCAGTAATATTTTAATGTACTTCATGATGTAGCTTAGCAAGTAAATGGTTTTAATAATATTATTGCTTCTCATGACTTAAACATTTTCTTTGTAGATAGAAATTTATTTTACTTTCAAATGCTTATGCTAGGCATGCAGTAGGCATTTGATGAAGTGATTATACTAAGAATCAGACTGAATGAAAAACAAAATGGTAACTGTTGTGTTCGGATGAAGAGTTTGAGGGTGAAGTTTTTCTTTTCTAAGTTTTTATGACTTTGTTAAATCTCTGTAAACCTTTATAAACTACATACTTATTTGATATGTTTCAAATTATGCCTTATATGTGTAATTATTTTACTAACAGTGTTCCAAGATATTTATTGCACATACAGCTTTCTATGTACTGTATATTAAAGATAACTTTTAAAAAAGTATCTTTTTTTTGTAGGAGGAAAAGACAGACGAAGTGGCCTCATCCTAACCATTCCATTATGCCTGGAACAAACAAATATGGATGAGCTGAGTGTCACTTTGGACTACCTCCTCAGCATTCCAAGGTGATTCTACAGGTGTCTTTAAATCACAGTGTACTTAGCAGTGTGTCCTAATGTGTAACTTGTCTTTCTTTTTTATTAGCATCAAGTTAAAATAATTTAAAATCCTTACCAGTACTTTTATCAACAGAAAATAATACTCAATTTTGTACTCTTGGTGTACCCAATGATACACATATTTTCAAAAGGTTTGTACTGTCACCTTTTTAGAAAGGTAACAGTTAAGTTTTTCTATATCATGAAACTTTAGAAAAAATAGAGAAGTTATTCTAGCAGAAATCATCTTTTATTCAGGTCACTATTTCACTCAAGTGATGTCAATACCTGTATGGATTCTATTGTATTGAGTGTATAGTATTAGGAGTTTTCAAATTTCTTTTTAATGTAAAAATTTTTAGATGCTTGTGGTTCACACATAATCCTAACTGTCGGAGGCTGAGATATGAGAATTGCAGTTTGCAACAGAAAGACTCTTATTCCATATAATCAGCAAAAAGTCAGCAGTAGAAGTGTGGCTCAAATGTAGAGTGCCAGCTGTGATAAAAAAGCCTAGTACAAACATGATCCCCTAATTTCAAGCCTCAATACGGACATAGAAAACCCAAAAAACAAAAACAAAGAAAATATGTTTATATTTTAATTCATAAGTCTTTGCATTGTTAACTTTTAGTTTTCAAATGAAGACAAAACTTAAAATCACTCTATTTGCTGGGGCCTACACTTCACAGACAGAAACAAATCTTTACCTTTGCAACAATTCTTGGACTTTTATGTGTATTTAATTTTTCTGATTTCAAATGTTCATATATTTTCTAGTAATATTAAATAAGATAATGCCTATGACACTAAAGTACTTTTGTCATCATCCTTTCATCTTCTTGAAAGATCCTAAGCTCAGAGTGTGTCTTAAAAATTGTACTTTTTAGAATCCTGTGCTGTGTGTACTCATATTTAAAAGTCAGTTTTCAGTTCTCAATGTATGATTATTGGAGGTAGATACAAAAAGAATATTCTGTATTTAAGAAAAACATAGGCAAAGTTTACTTATTTAATTTTCATAAATGAGGTTACATTCCCATCTTACATAAGAGGGAACTGAGGCATTGAAAAGGATGGTCAAGATAACTTGACCAGGAACATGTAAGTCAAGGCTAGACATATAGTCTGAATGCAGCAGTCTGCCTCCAAGCCTGGGTTTCAAAGCATTGTGATTTTATGATCACAATGTTGTAGCTATTGATAACTTCTGGAAAATTCACATTAAACTTGGATTTATCACAACTGATATTTGACATAAGACATTAAATTTTAATGAATATAATATAGTATAGTATGGTCATCCAATTGGAGAATCATGGAATATTTGGGTTAGAAAGTACCAAAGCAATTATCTAACCACTTAAGTCTTTTCTTTTTAATGGAAATGACTACAGTTTCTTATTCTGATTATTCTTTTTTTTGGGGGGGGGTCCTGTCGTGGGGCCTGAACTCTGGGCCTGGGTGCTGTCCCTCAGCTCTTTAGCTCAAGGCTAGCGCTCTACCACTTGAGCCACATTGCCACATCTGGCTTTTTTTTTTCTGCTTATGTGGTGCTGAGGAATTGAACTCAGGGCCTCCGGCATACAAGGCAAGCTCTCTACCACTGAGCCACCTTCCCAGTCCAAACTCTGATTATTCTTGATTCAGTATCTGTTAAGCTACCTTCCAGGTTTCCTCAAGCATTCACTTTTTAAAAATTGTAGCTTTGATTTTAAATTGTTTTCTCAAACTACAGAAAAGCTTGTTATAGAAGAATCAGAAAAAGGAAAATGTTTGATGACTTGTGGAAGATCATATTTACATTGAAGTCATAAACCTTCAGTCACTGAGTAAATGTGGGGGAGCCTGCAAGAAGCTCCTCATTATCATAGATGCTGAGGAAGTTGGGAACATAGCACAGAACAAATAAGTGTCACAGCTGTAGACTCATGGTATTAGATCTTACTGAGTGCTGTGAAAGCAAAGCACAGAGTCAGGAGAGACAGGGATAGTAAAGAGTAAGGCAGTATGTGGTATTAGTTCATAAAATGATATCCTTTTACCGGAGTAGCTGGCTCTATAGGATATCTGATGAAAGAACATTTAAAACTGAGACTCTTGATTGCAAAGGTCCTGAGGCATGAGCAGGTTTAGCATGTTGTGAAAACAGCAACCAGGCTGGAGCAGTCTGAGAGAGGAACAGAGATCTGAGAGAGTGGTGATAATGAGAGGCTACCATCAGTCAGAAAGGACCATGTTGACCATAATATGGGCTTCAGTTTTAAGTAGGAAGGAAAGCCATTGTGTTCTCACTGAAAAGTGACCTGATATGGGTGATCAAGGTAGCTTGACAAGAGCATCTGATAAGTCAAGGCTCATATTTTTAAAGGTCCCCTAAATTTAAATCATTGTGATCGAAGCTTCCAGGATATTAATAAGATGGTAGTCTTGCTTTCTGGAAGTGTGTTACCTCATGAAGATGAATTACAAACAACTCATTAAAATAGATGAAGAATAAAGCTGGTGTCATTTTCTAATATAAGCAGAACTCTGAGTGAAAGACAAGAAGCCCTTAATAATAATAAAAATTAGTGAAAAGCTTCAGAATTCTGATCCCAGAAATCTCTCACTAATCACTTTCTAGATCAGAAGTATGCTTTGAGGCTTCTTTTCTTTTATAGAGTGATAGAACTCAGCCATATCCTCCTTGAAAGATTCTAATGGTGATTAAGAATAAGGAGGCAAGCTGGGCACTGGTGGCTCACCCCTGCAATCCTAGCTACTCAGGAGGTTGAGATTTGAGGATCATGATTCAAAGCCAGCCTGGGCAGGAAAGTCTGTGAGACTCTTATCTCCTATTAACCGGAAGTGGCACGGTAGCTTAAGTGTAGAGCACTTGTCTTGAACTGAATAGCTCAGGGACATTGTCCATGCCCAGAGTTCAAGCCCCACAACTGACAAAAAAGTAAGAAGGCAAAGTCCTAGATAGTTCCTTCCTTCTCTAACGACTCAGTCATAAATAGGCTAGCAGTACTGAATTTTATTAGCACTTTAGGAATGCCAACATGCCCTTTATAAGGCATGATGTATAACATCTAAATTAAATATGTTATTGTTAAAAGTAGTGTTAAACCATCACTCCACTTTTGAAATGAAGTTTAAAAAATACTATTTTCACTAGACACTGGTGGCTCAAGTGCCAGATCAGCCAAGGAAAGAAAAGGCCATGAAACTGCATCTCAATAGATAAAGTTCAGCATGGTGGTATACACTTCTCATCCCAGCTATGGCAGGAAGCATAAATAGGAAAATTTCAGTCCTGGCTATCCTTGGCAGAAAGTAAGACTATCTCAAAACTAACCAGAGAAGAAAGGACTAGAGGCATGGCTCAAGTGGTAGAGCATCTGAGTAGCAGGTGCAAATCTCCAAGCTCAAACACCATTACCACCAAGCAATAAAATACTATTTTTGAGCAATTGAAAGAGCACATGATCTTCCCACTTTAAAATAGTATCTTTGAATTTGCATATTTTAATTATCTATCTTAGTAAAATCTGAGAAAATTATGATTAAGTGTGTTTATTTAAATACTGAAACGGATACATGCAGTGCTAATTTCTTTAAGATCACTACAGATGGTACTTGCAAGCTTCATTACTTTCTTACTCTTAATGTGCAAATTAATTTATGGTATGCATTGAAATATAAACGTGTTGTGTTTGTAAAACTTACTTAACAAAATGGTGTGTAACCTTTGTTTTAGAGGCATAGATGCTGGTGACAAAGAAGTGGCGAGTTATAGGAATGGGGTACTTCCTTTGGTGGGGAGGCCCACATGGACAGATCTGTATTTTAGTTCCACATCCTATAAACATCCAACATATTGGGAGAGTCCCTGAATTGTTTACAGTTCTGCAAAGTCCACAGACTATCCTATTCCTAAGCTGGTCTTACTACAGCTTGTTGTATCCCACTGAGCATGGTGGTCTTCCTAGATGTCACTGTGGACCTCTAGGAATGTCCTCCTTCTCCAAGCCCATAGGTAGTCATTATGTGTCGTATTTGTTTTGCTCCACAAGTGGTTATGTGCTCTTGCTTATCTACAGGTGACCACTGTTTGCATTACTCTCTACTCCAATAATATTTTATCTTTTATTTTGTAATGAAAATTGAAAATTAGCGTTTACATTTCTTTTACTGAGATTTCATTCACATATTATAAAACTCACCCTTTAGGTAAAGTATACAATTCACTGGGTGTGTTTACAGGGTTGAGGAGCCATCACACTAATTCTAAATAACTTCATCAGTCCAAAAGGATCTCTTAACCCATTAGCACTCACTCTCC